TCTGCATTCCCACCAACAGTGTACAAGGGGTCCCTTTTCTCAACAACTTTGCCAGCACTTGTTATTTGTTGATTTATTTATGATGGCCATTCTCACCAGTGTGAAGTGGTATCTCATGGAAGTTTTTGCCCAGAAAAGGAAACCATCAACAAAATGAAAATACAACCCACTGAATGGGAGAACATGCCACAGGTGATACATCTGATAAGGGGTTAAATTCCAAAGTTTGTAAAAAACTTACACAACTCAACACCAAACAAACAAAAGCCCTAACAATCCAATTAAAAAAATGGGCAAATGAGTTGAATAGACACTTCTCTAAAGAGGACATAGAGATGACCAATAGACATATGAAAAGATGCTCAACATCACTAATTATTAGAGAAATGCAAATTAAAACCACAATGAGATATCACTTTACACCTGTCAATAAATCAACAAACAGCAACTGCTGGCAAAGTTGTGGAGAAAAGGGAACTTTGTTGCATTGTTGGTGGGAATGCAGACTGGTGCAGCCACTGTAGAAAGCAGTATGGAGCTACCTCGAAAAATTAAAATGGAACTGCCTTATGGCCCACTGATTTGACTTCTGGGAATTAATCTGAAGAAAACAAAAAGAATACATGCACTACTATGTTTATTGCAGTGTTGCTTACAACAGCCAAGGTTTGGAAGCAGCCAAAGTGCCCATCATGGGTAAAAAATGAGTGGGTAAAAAAGCTATGGTACATTTGCACAATGGGATAGTACTTGGTGGTAAAAAAGAAAGAAATCTTACCTTTTGTGACAGCATGGATGGACTTGGAGAAGATTATGCTAAGTGAAATAAGCCAGAGAGCCCTGGCTGGTGTAGCTCAGTGGATTGAGCGCAGGCTGCGAACCAAAGTGTCGCAGGTTTGATTCCCAGTCAGGGTACATGCCTGGGTTGCAGGCCATGACCCCCAGCAACCGCACATTGATGTTTCTCTCTCTCTCTCCCTCCCTTCCCTCTCTAAAAATAAATAAATAAATAAATAAAATCTTAAAAAAAAAAGAAAGAAGCCAGAGAAAGAGAAATACCATATGATTTCACTTATATGTGAATCCAATTAACAAAATAAACTACTGAACAAAATAGAAACAGACTCATAGATACAGGCACCAGGCTGAAAACTGTCAGAGGGCAGGGCTTTGCGGGAGGGGGCATTGGGTGAAAAGGGTGAAGGGATTAAGCAAAAAAAAAAAAAAGAAAGAAAGAAAAAGAAAAAGAAAAAAATTATGAAAACATCATAGTCAGTTCTTTGGCAGTGGAAACTGTTTTGATGACAAATAAAACAATGCTTTTATTAACAATAATAATTACTGTAATTTATTGAATACATATTTTGTAATAGACACATAATTAGATGTTTTATGTTTATTACCCCTTTCAAGTAACTAGCTAAAAAAGAAGCTTTATAATATTGTTCCAAATGTGATTAATACATTTGAAAAGTGGCTATCAATTTGCACATACACATAAAGATTAGTCCTGCAGTTTAGAATTATTTTTCCACTTTCTATTAAATACAGACAATACCTTTCACTGAATTCTGTATACATTAAGAACTCAGCAAATGTTGATTTGCTAATAAGTAAATGTAAGAAATTCCAAAATCTCACTAGTCTAGCTCTGAGAGCTTAAAAACAAAGACAGTAAATAATTGTATATTATCTTGTCCACTTTCATAATGATTCAAAAAAGGGTGATGTCTCCTTTAAGAAACAGTGCCATTCCAAGTGTGTCTGAAGAGCAAACCTAGCCTTTTTAGAACATGACTCTGTAATGTGTTCATCTGTGTTAATGTGATGAAAAAGACTAAAGACCAGACAATGTCCAACAGGAATAGATTAATAGTTCTCTTGAGCTCCATTGGACTCAGTTCCTACCCAAACCAATGACCTATGCCTTAATTGTAAAAGTAAAAGTTTGTTGAGTCTAGCTGAGCTGGGAAAGCGAATCCATGATTCAGGTTCACTTGGGGAAACCATAAAAATGAGCATGTGCTCACGGACTTGACTCATTAATTTTGGCAAAGTCTTCACTTAAATCAGTGGCCATATACAAAAATAGAAATATATAAGCTAACAGTGCAACTGCATAGACCATAAGTGGTATTTGGTGTTTAAACAGTAGCTATACTGAATTTAACACACTCATATGGGGATGCTGGTAAAGTAAAACAAGAAAAAACTTTGTGATATAAGTGATAATTTCTTTGATACCACTCATAATTTTTAAATGAGTAAGGAGAAACTGATTATAAATTTGTTAATATGGTACATAAATGATTAAGAAAAAATCATTATAGCTACTCTTGAATAGAGTTCATAAAATATTTTTAATGAGATTCATTTTTAAAAAAGATTTTATTGGTTGAATCAGTTTGGATTCTAGACATAGTCGCCCATGCCCAAATGCACTAGCATTTTCCATGTCAAAATATTTTTTTTCCTGAAACTACCTAACTATTAGCAGCTGTCTATGTGAGAATAGAGGGAGGATTGTTTTCACTTCATTCAAAGATTAATGATATTTTACAGCTTCAAAAGAAGTTTTCAGTTCTGGCTTTATGACAGGCACCTCCTTCTTGTCTCCTTTAATTTCATTGACACTTTTTCAACATAATTATTTATTCTGTGGCATATCAAAATAGTCTACAAAGCAAAAGTTTTTATTGGAAATACAATTTTGCTTGCTCTTAAATCTGCACAAGTACACTGCTCTCTTTCTCTCATTTACCAAGTAGCATTGTAATCATTCCAATCACTGCTTTTTGGTTTTGCTTAAATATTTAATGACAGTTAACGGAGATATGGAAAAGTGGTGAAAGAGAGAGAGAGAGTTGAATTTATTCTATTTTTTTCCTGGTTGCATATTTTTTGGTGAAAGAGAGAGAAAGAGAGAGAGAGAGAGGTAGTAAAATTTCAATGGTATGAATTAAGTTGTGAAATAGTAAAATTATCCACAAGTGTAATCATTTGACCTGTTATTAGAGCTAGAACAAGGGTAGCATGAGGCTTATAAACCTATATGGGAAATCAGCATGACCTTCGCCAGGCCTGACCTGCTTCTGATCACTCACTTTTACTTCACTTCAAAATCTTTGTGTTTGCTGGTCACTTTTTCACTTTGTGTGTAATTCCAGCAGGACACATTCCAGATTTCCAGATTCTGAGAATTAAACTTAAATATATATATCCCAATCTAAATCCCAGAAAACTATTGTGGTTGCTGACAATCCCATTCTAAACTTATACATGGAGAAGCAGAAGACCCAATCTAGCCAACGTAATATTGAAGAAGATAAAGTGAGCGGACTGACACTACCCAACTTGAAGACTTACTTGAAAGCTCCAGTAATCAAGACAGTGTGGTATTAGAAAAAGAACAGACAAGTATATCAATGGTATAGGATAGAAAGCCCAGAAATAAACACACATAAATACAGTAACTGAATTCTGACAATGGAGCAAAGACTATACAAGGAAGAGGATACTCTTTTCAATGAATGCTGCTGGAATAAATGGACATCCACATACCAAAGGAAAAAAAAAGAATCTAGACACAGATATTACATCTTCACAAAAATTAACTCAAAATGGATTGTACCTAAATATAAAATGCAAGATGTTAAACTCCTAGAAAATCAATACACCAGTTTAACTGAAATTTAGAAAAATATTTTGGAATGTGTCAATTAAACAAAGGAGAATTTACAAAAAAATTCTGCGTAATACAAAAAAATTTAAGTAAATACATGCAGATGGCACTGAGAGAAATTACAAGAACAAGAATCTTATGGTAATTTTTTTTTACCAAGCAAAAAAAGGGCCCACATATAAAGAACTCAGAAAAGATAGTTCCTGGTGATAGTATTGCACACACTGTTACTATATTTTAAGAGTTTTAATTCTGATGGGCTGAATACAAGAGTTTACCTGGCTCATACATTTGCTCTATAAAGATGAAAATACCAAGCAATCTTCAGTGTGAACCATCAGTATAGTCACTGTCTTGCAGATCCTATTCTTGGATATTATGGTAGGGCCTAGTGGAGACCAAGTCTTCCACATGCATTCTAGATTCCTCCACCACTCCCTCTTGCTTCTCAAGAACATCACTCCTGCAATTACCCGGCACCCATATAGTCCTCAGTCTCTTCCCTCTCAACTCATTTATATCAGCCTACAAACATACCTTTGTATCTCCATTTGGAGTGGAAAATATCACTGCCATAGTCCTTTTCAAGAACATCATGTTCCATTATTCTGCTCCACTTCAGAGCCTAATTTCTTGAAAAACTTAAATATTGTCAGTGGCTCTTCTATTTTTCTCTCAAACTCTTCCATTAAGGATTCTGGTCTTACTACTCCACTGACACAACTCCTGTGAGTTGCTGGAGAGTTCTGTATTGCCAGATCCAAGCATATCATCTTCATCAACAATGCTCACATAGCTGAGCCCTTCTCCCTTCTTAAAAAATGTTCTTCTTTGGTTTCTATGACAACACATTTTCTTGCCTTTGTTCTACTACTTTACTAGTAGTAGACACTTCACTAGACACTCCTTTGTCTTCTTGATTGGCTCCTCTTTCTCATTTAACTTTGGTGTGTCCCAGAGCTTGGCCTCAGGTCCCTTTTGTTCTCTGTATGCCTCCCTAGATCATACTCTGACTCATTCTAACAGCATGAAGTGCCATTAGTTTGTTGATGATTCTCAAATTTTCCCCTTAAACTCCAGATATATATGCCAATGTCTATTTGATATCTCTGCTAGATGTCCACAGGCATCTCAAACTTAACACACCCCCTTCCTTCCAAAACTACTCTTTGTACAGAGTTACTTCACCCATGACAGCCCATGCCACTGTGTAAGCCTAAAACCCAGGTGTCCCCTTCATCCTCCGCTTCTTGTATCCAAACTGTTACAAGTCACATGACCTCAATCTCCAAAATGTGTCCTAAATCTGTCTACTTACCTTCCCACCTTTACTACCAACACCCCAATCCAAGTCGCCATTACCTCTCACTGCAAACTATGACAATACTCTAAGTGGATATCAAGCCTCTATCATCACCCTCCTTAATCCATTCTCAACCCAGCATCCAGTTGTCAAGTCCCCATGTAAGCCCCTTAATACCATACCCTAGTACTTAAAGAAAATTCCTGCTCTGTGCCCTAATAAGAGTAGATTATCTGCCCTCTGCTTACATCTCTGTTCTCATTTCCTATTCTGTCCACCTTACCAGCTACACATGCTTTATTTTTCCCCCTCAACATGTTAAATGTTTCTCCCTTAGACTTTTGTAGTAGCCATACCTATCTGCTGTGAATACCCATCCCCTCAATTTTAGTATAGCTGGCTCCATTTTATCAGTCAGGACTCATCTTAAATGCCACCTTCTCTGAGGTGCTCTCTATAGGTACCCAGTCTAAATCAAAGCATCTTGTTCCCAGAATTATTTTCTCATTTTTAAAGTAGCAGCTGCTTAGATAATACCTCTATGTGATCCCACTGCATTGTCTTTTTAAGAAAATAATTGACATGTGTTCTGAAAAACAACAGAGCTAGGCAGAGAATAAAGTGGTACAGGCAGATTTTAATTAGGAATTATTACAGTATGGGAAAAGAGACCTCATTATAGATCTGGGCTCAATTCCTAATTTAGCAAGGAAAAATGTGGATTTATAAGCACATACCAGGGTTGGTGTGGGAAGAGGCAGATGAAAAATTACTAACAGGAAACATCCAGATTAAAAGGGGATTTCTGATTAAACCATCTTGACAGGATTCTTGCCAAAGGTATGCCAGGATGGTGAGATATCACCTAGGGGGTAGTGAGGATAAGAAATTGTTTATATGTCAAGATAGGGACTCTGGCTAAACTGACTCTGCAGGATTCTTGCCAAAACTGTGATCTTGAAGACATGCCCAAGGATGGAGCTTAGTCAGGCTCTGAGGAGCCTGTGTAGAGTTTGGCCAATGAGTCTTTGTCAGTTGCAATACAGTTGACCCTTGAACAATGTAGGGGTTAGGGGTCCTGTCCATGCCCTTCATCCAGTGCAGTTGAAAATCTTCATGTAACTTTAGAATCTCCCCAAAACTAACTACAATTGTCTCTCACTATCCATGGGAGATTGGTTCCAGGATCCCCACAGACACTAAAATCTGTAGGTGCCGATGTCCCTTATCTAAAATGGTATAGAGTGATGCATACAGTCAGCCCCCTGCACCCATGGATTCATAATTACAGACTGAACAGACTGATGTGATACTCAGGAAATGGAGGGGTGATGGCTATGGAAAATATCTGCATCTAAGTGGACCTGCATAGGTCAAGCTCATGTTGTTCAAGGGCCAACTGTGTATCTAAAATATAAAATTGATTGTTTACCTCTGTAATTATTTGGGCTGCATAGCTGTAAATACAATTGCATGATGTCCTTTGCATTAAAGAGGAGGACATACAGAGGATCCAGAGACACATGAAAAGATGCTCCATATCACTAGCTATCAGAGAGATGCAAATTAAAACCACAGTGAGATACCACTTTACACCAGTCAGAATGGCCATCATAAACAAAGCAACAAACAACAAGTGTTGGAGAGCTGGGGAGAAAAGGGGACCCTAGTGCACTGCTGGTGGGATTGCAGACTGGTACAACCACTATGGAAAACAGTATGAAATTTTCTCAGAAAACTAAAAATGAATCTGCCTTTTGACCCAGCAATTCCACTGCTAGGATTATATCCTAAGAACCCTGAAACATCAGTCCAAAAGAACCTATGCACCCCAATGTTCATAGCAACACAATTTACAATAGACAAATGTTGGAAGCAACCTAGGTGCCTATCAGTAAGTGAATGGATCAAAAAACTATGGCACATTTACACAATGGAATTCTATGCAGCAGAAAGAAAGAAGGAGCTCCCATGCTTTGCAACAGCATGGATGCAACTGGAAAGCATTATGCTAAGTGAAATAAGCCAGGCGGTGAAAGACAAATACCATGTGATCTCACCTTTAACAGGAACCTAAACAACAAAACAAAGAAACAAGCAAAATATAACCAAAGATACTGAAATAGAGAACAGACTGACAGTGTTCAGAGGGGAGAGAAGAGGAAATTTCAGGGGAATTTCAGGGGAAAAGGGGAAGGGTTTACAGGAACAAGCATAAAGGACACACGGAGGGAGGCGGGGAGGGCTGGGTGGGTGGGCTGGGATGGGAGTAAAAGATAGAAAATTGTACTGCAACAACAATTAAAATACAATAAAAAAAGAGTGTGTTCATTCTTTTTAATGGATTAACTTCTTAAATTAAAAAAACTTTTTTCCCATTGTAGAATAGTATCTCAGATATTAAATTCTGACCAATAAAGGATGTTAGCATTGGTTTCACAGGTGTTTACTCCTAGTCCCTTTTGTCCTTCTCCCATGGGAAATTTATTCTTTATTTTGTACCAAAATACTGAAAACTATTTACTTCAATTTTCAAAAAGCTGATCAGAAAAAAACTTATATAGAATCAACTCAGGAAAGCAAATGTATAATAACAACTGATTACTTTCTATTTATGCTCATTTATTTTTGGTCAGACTTATGAATATCACACTTTCAACCAATGTATCTGTTGTTCAACACTTTGGAAATGGAAAGATAAGATTTCCCACACAAAATAGGTTCCTTTTAAAAATTTAAAGATCTAACACTTGAATGTACATTGTTTTATCAGTTCTTTAGGAAACAGTTATTGTATTGACCAGATTCAGCTGGGTAATACCTAGTAACAATGCCCCCAAATCCTAGTACTGTGTGGGACAAAGCTTGTTTGTCTTTCCCACTCAGTTCCGCATGGTAGCTCAAGTAGCTGCCGCACATCATCCTTGCTCTGGAACTCAAGCTGATGGAATCCTCATCATTCTATAATATTGCCAGTTGCTGCCTCAGGAGGAAGACACAGTAACAAATGGCACTCTAATTTTTAAAAACTTCTGTCCCAAAGTGACACTCATCACTGACCCTGCTCATTCCCCAAAGCAAGTATGACTACGTTGCTTAACATTAAAGGGAAAGGAGAGAACACGTCTGCCATGAGCTGAGGAGAACCACCACCCTGGTAAACAGCCCTAATGACACCCACAGCAATAACATGTAAAACTAGCAAAGGATCATGTATAACTGATTAAATTAACAAGAATCCAACCAATGGTACTTTGCCTGCATAATGTCAAGTATCAAAGAGCTTAGGGATCTGTTACATAGGTTTGGACTAGATGAGAATCATGTCTCTTTGACTTTATGAGTCTCTTGAACCCATTATTTCCTTTCCATTTTTATTCTCCACATAGTATTTATTTTTTCACATGGGGTACTACAGTTGTCTGCTTGAATACATCTTCTCTATTATGATCCATCCTGATTAATTATCTACAAACTTGCCTTCATCATGTGATTCCCTTGCCAGCAAGCTAAACAAAAACAGAAGACAGGTAAAAATAAGTCAAACTCCTTAGTCTGACCCTCCAAGCCTTTTGCAATCTACCATCAATTTGCCTTTCACTCCTTATCAGCCTGTAGAATCTATAATTGTAGCCACATCATTAGCTTACTTGCCTTCAAATATTTATCATCTTTTCCTGCATTGTTGCTAAAATAGTTTCATTGCATCAAATTCTCACTCCACTTCTGTATTGCTGAGAATTTAACCTATTCTTCAGGACATAAATAAACTTCTAATTCTTCTATGAAACTGTATTCTATAAACAATTGCTGACCCAGCTGGTATAGCTCAGTGGACAGAGCACGGGCCTGGGAACCAAAAGGTCACTGGTTTGATTCCCAATTGGGGCACATTCCAGTTGTAGGCCAGGGCTCTAGTAGGGGATGTGCAAGAGGCAACCACACATTGATGTGCCTCTCCCTCTCTTTCTTCTTCTCTTCCCCTCTCTCTAAAAATAAATACATAAAATCTTTAAGAAAAGAAAACAGTTGCCAAGGAAGCTTAACATTGATCTCAGGCATGACTTTATAATGCAATGCTTGCTTGCTTAGTTAATTAATTTTATCGAGCCCTTAATATGTTTCATGCAATGTGATAGTTGCATGTGTTAGATTTTCTAGCAGACATCTCAGACTAAAACCAGACTCTTGAGTTTTGCTCCCAAACCTGCTGCTCCTTTGCTTTTCTCCTAACTTCATTCACCCAGTTGTGTAGGTGAAAATCCCAGAGGACTCCTTGTCCTGCTTTTTCTCATACTCCATATCCAGTTATCAGCAAATCACCTTGAAAATATCCCCAGTCCAATAACTTCTCACTACTTTCATTCCTACCACTTTAGTTCAAACCATCATTATCACTTTTTTTTTGATTATGCAGCCTGCTAAATAGTCTTTCTGCCCTCACTTTTGAACTTCTTAGTCTATTTTCCAATATGTCAGACCGTAATTTTGTTCATTCAAAATTACTCCAATGACTCCTTATCTTATAGTAAAATCCACAGCTTGTTCTATTATCCATATAGCAAAAATGCTAGTCTTTTTCTATCTCTCAGACTTCATTCCCTTTTCCTCCCTTAAGTCCAGTCTCTTTGTTCCCTTTGCCCTGGTAGGCAGGCCAAGTCCATACAGCCACAGGGCATTTGGACTGGCTTTTCCTTCTCGTTTGGCACACCCTTCACATAACTACCCGAGAATATTCTACCCTTCATTTAAGTCTCTTCTACAATGATGTCTTGTCGTAAGGGCTTTTTCTGATGGCTCTAGAAAACAGTAGCTGTCATCACAATCTTCTTGAATTTTGTCTTGCTTTACTTGTCATGCAACTTATCACTGTCTGTATTCTCCATATCTAATGTTTATTACTTGACTCTCTACCTCTCTTCCCACCACCAGTGGAACGCAAGCTGGATGAAAGCAGGGACTTTATTGCTGTTCATTGCTATAATGACAGTGATTAGAAAAATATCTGTCGATAGAGGGGAGCTTCCAGCCAAGAAGGAGGCATAGGTACATATGC